CTCTGAGAGCTGTAACGCTGGGGATCCCCTGGTGGCTTGATATTCAACTAAGGCTGGCTGGAAATGGAAAGGCTTGCCTAGCTTGCCTGTGAGTTTAGAAAGCAGCACAGCAACAAAGGAAAACAGGCTATGACATTTTCTAAATATTTACCAAGGGGAGGCAACGATTCTGTCAGTGGAGTCAGATCCGATCGTGAATTCTCCTGCCTGCCTCCTACATTCGGCCTTGACCACTGTCTGCATCTCAAGAGCTGGAGCGATGCATCCCATCAGAGTGGCTGTCAGAGGCCGGGAGCATCTCTGTGACAGACCCAACCACCGCTACTGCACGGCGCAGGTGCACCGATCCCTACAGGGACCCTCCTCCGAGATTCCTTTTCTTTGACATCATGGTCAAGATGCCCTCACCCCACACAGGAGTGCCTGGCTTCATCCCCAATGCATGGCTCCCGATTCCAATGTTCTGTCAATGCAGGCCCTAGGAGGTAGTGATGAGGACTCAAGTGGGTGGGTCTCTGCTACCTACGGTGGGGCGGGGAATGGGGAGAGACCTGGATTGGCTGCTCCCTGCTTTAGCAATGACTCACTCCCAACACTGCAGACAATCGGGAGCAAACCAGCTGATGGCAGCACTCTGCTCACCCTCTTCCCCACCTTCTCATCCTTTCTCTCCTCTCCACCTTCCCTCCCTCTTCACTCTCTGAAAAGGAATAACTTTAAAACAATAGAAAAATAACCAAAGATTTGTCGGTGAAAGCTGAGTCAATACAAATAGCTTTCTGGTGCCTTTCCCCTTTGTAACCTTTGTGCCATATTTTTGGCTTATCTGAGAGGTCTTTCACCAGTTCATGGAAAACATATTATTAAAAACTATACACAACTTTTCAGGCTTTTTTTTTTGTACCAAAATAAGCATAGAAGCCTTTTTTTCCATGAACTTTGAAAGTTCCTTTATGTTACCTGAACGGTTTCAGAACTCAATAATCATGTACTGCCTGCCAGTCCTTGTTAGGATATCAGATTTCTCATCAGCCCACACAACAGTTATTTCCACTCTGCATCATCCCAAGTTAACTAATAAAGGTTATTGTGCAGGTCTTAGGTTATAAAAAATATATATGGATAAGGGGCCAGTGTGGTGATGCAATGGGCTAAGCCCCAATGTCAGCATCCCATATTGAATGCCATATTGAGTCCCAGCTGCTTTGCTCCAGATCCGTTTCCTGCTAATGTTACCTAGGAAGTAGCAGATGATCCAAGTATTTGAGTCCCTGACACTCATGTGGGAGACTGGGGTGAAGTGCCCTTCAGCCTGGCTCAGACCTGGCTACTCGAGCCATTTGGGGAGTGAGCCAAAAAAATGGTATATCTCTCTGTCTTTTATCTCCTCTCTCTCTGCCAATCTGCCTTCCAAATAAATAAGTCTTTTTGGAAAGCATGAATAATATGGGGCTGGCACCATGGTTCAACAGGCTAATCCTCCATCTTCAACCCCCAGCATCCCATATGGGCGTGGGTTCATGTCCCAGCAGCTACACTTTCCATCCATCTCCCTGCTTGTGGCCTGGGAAAACAGTAGAGGACGGCCCAAGTCCTTAGGACAGGGTACCCAGGAGGGAGACCCAGAGGCAGCTCCTGGCTTCAGGTCAACTCAGTTCTGGACATTACAGCCACTGGAAGAGTGAACCAGTAGACGGAAGATCTTTCTCTCTTAGTCTCTCCTCTCTGTAAATCTTCTTTTCCAATAAAAATAAATTTTGACTTTGACTTTTTGACTTTGAAATATAACATACCATTCTTCACAAATAATTTGGTGATGGGGTCCAGGTTAAAATAGGTGTCTACAGTCTTAAAAAATTCCCAAAGTCCTTCCCCATGAACCTAGAAATGCCACCTGACTATGCATCAAGAGACACATAATCCTCAGTAGTATTACACATATCTGCCCTATAAAGAAATATACACCTGGACACCTTACAAGCCATGTGCGGATGTTGGTAGAGTTAAATGTTCACCAGTATCTTTTCTCCTGCCTAACCCCCATAACTTTTATCTCTCTAGATTTCCCTAAGCTAAAAAGTGTTAGAAAAATAAGATGCTCTTCAAAGGAAAGAAAATCTCAGAAGTTTGAGCAGCTAAACTTCAGGAAATAAACCACTCTGGCCTTGGAAGAGAGACAGGAAAGCAAGGGCTAGCTTGGGGGGTTGGGGTGGGGGTGGTGCATAGAAGGCACCTGCTAGAGCTCCACATACCCGGGCAGGCATGCTGCTCACACGTGTCGCCCAAGCAGCCACAGAAGTGGGAGGCTGGGCTCTGTGACCACCAAAGTCCCTTCCCACTAAGTAGCATTGGCCTCACGGATTTCTGATACTCATCCTGTGCTACGACAACTCTCCCTCTTTCCTGGCCACTTCCAGGACTGAAGAGAAAAACTGGCTTTCAAAAAAAAAAAGCTTTGGCTACTGCCAAAATCACAGTTCTGTCCTTGAAATGGTGACCTGATGTTACCCGGCAAGGCAAAGAACCCTTCAAGCAAATTTATGCCCAATGCTGTCTTCAGGCACAGTCTTGTAAACCTCTCTCATATCAGCTCAATTCCCCAGGTCCTGGTAGGGAACACTGGGAAGCTAAAAGACCAGCCTGCAGCCACATCATTCCTCTCAGGCAGTACCTCCATATCCTCTGCCATGCGGCTCACCTTGAAAACACAGCAGACCCCAAGAGCTGAACTGAACTTGAATCCTCAGCTGTGTGAAGTGAAGCAAGTGATTCAATCTACTGAACCTGTTTCCTCACTTTAAAAAGGATGACGGTGTGAGCTCCCTTGCAGCGACTCCAAAAGAGGATGACAGATTCTTTCAACACAGCTGTGTGGCCAGCCAGGTGCTGGGCTGGGTACTGGTACCTACACAGACACAACAATCTAAAGCTCTTACAGTTTGCACTTAACTCCGGTCTGTTTCCACAACTGCGGCAGACCTGTCAGACGCTGGTGCAGAAAACTTTCATTCACACCTGCTTTGCCGTAAATAGTCATTTTGATGTTTGCCAAATTAGGTCCCAGGTGGGAGCCTACCCTCCCTCCCCCTCCATGCCACCTCTTCCCCCCGCCCCCACCTTGGCCGGTGGTGCTAATTACCTAACAGGTGCCCTGCCACAGGACACCTTCGGAACACATGAAAGCAGCAACAAGAGGAGCACAAGGTGGCATCCCAGCTCTCTGCTGGGCAGACCGCTCGCTCGCTGGCTCGCTCGGGCAAAACCTGATATGCCTGTGCTCCGGGGCTGGTCCGGATGCCAGTGAGTCTTTCAATTCCATGAGCAGGCTGAGTCTTCCCAGAACTCAAGATTAACAGGACTGGCTCATCCCCAACCATAGCCACTACGCCACTGATAAGCCAAGGGCAACAGCACTGGAGTCTATGGGCCATGTTTTTGTCCCAGATGGTGGCTATCTTTCAGCTGTGCTTTGCTCTAGATGGGGATAAAATTCTGTATAAATGGCTCAAGCCTGGAGTGTCAATGTCAAGGGCGTGTGGGAGGAGGTGGGTGGCTTGGTCAGGGTAAGTTTCATTATGGTCCTGGTCCTAGCTCGTGCAGGAACCAATCTCTAGCCAAGTGCAAGCCTAGCTGTGTTGGATGCTAGATGTTCAGGACACATGGACAAACATTTTGCATTTAAGAGCCCTGGAACCCAGGGTTCACTCACAGCACAAGCCTGGTCCTGGAACAGCAACAGGATCTGCCTTCAGCCAGGAAGGTACTCAAACAGGAAATTCTAGGATAAAATTCTGACCCATCTGGGAAGCCAAGGATAGGTTAGTAGTCATTGTCAAGGGGGCTGAGATGGGCAGCACAGCCTTCCCCGGTTTAGGAGTTATTCCAAGGACTTTCCAGTAGCCACTATCCACAGCCTGGGCATTACACGGCTGCCTCCCACCTGCAGGGGACAACCCAACCGCTCCCCGCTCAAGTTCTCACTGTAGAGACGCTTCCCTCTCTCCTCCCCCGACTCCCTACCTCCAGTTTGATGCATCTAAAATTTAAATCTACACAGAATCAGCGGCTTCTTTCCGTTTACCCTCAGCAAGTTAAGCGTGTTATTATTAACTCCTGGCGCCTTTCAGCGCTTGGCGAAAACAGTGGTTTGGGTATTAATAGCTAAAATCCAGGCCCTACCTGCGGCTGGTTGTCACGGAAACCCTCCCGAAGCCCCGCAGCTGCCGCCCGAGACTCTGGAGTCTGGGCGAGTTGGTGGGAGTTGGGAATTGCAAAAAAGCTCTTATTTCTTTCACTCTCTATTTCTCGGGGCTAAGTTGTGTCGGAGGAGGAGCTGACGAGGGGGTTGCCGGCAGAGCGGACTGCAGAAGCGCGGGGGAGCTGAAGACGGATGCTAGGTCCCTGGACAAGACGACTTGGGGCACGCGGTTTTTGGCTCCCTCCGCTCCCGGCCGTTCTGCGCGTCATTCCCAGCGCCCCGAGGCCCGGCCCCCCTCCGCTACCCTGACCTGTCCTCGCTGCCTGGATGCTGGGCTGTCCCGGGTGCGCGCAGCCAAGTTGCAGAAGAGGCTCCGGGCGGCCCCCCTCGGGCACAGGACCCCGGCGGCGGGACGTGAGGCAGCAGAAGCAACACTGACATGGGGCAGGTTGGATAGAGGCAGGACCCCCCACTCTCCTCCTCCTTAGCTCCGAGGCCAGGGACCAGAACACGCACTACCCGCCTCCCCGCCCTGTGCCCCAGGCGCCTCTCCGCGATCCGCCTGGCCAAGGTTAGCGCCCGGCTTCACCCAGCGCTTCGCCAACCCGCGCGGGTTCCCGCGTCCCGGGGTGATCGTTGCCGCAGCCCCGCCAGGGCCTCCCGCGCGCCCCGCACCCCTCTCGCCTCACGCGCGGCGCCCGAGGCGGGGTTCCCCACCCGCTCCCCTGGGCCCCCGCCGCTCCTCGGCGCTCGCGAACCGGCACCCAGACCCCTCGGGCCGTCGGGCCTTCCCAGGACTCACCTGCGCTGGGGCTGAAGCGGCGACCACCCTGAACCCGGGGGCGGCGGTGGCGGCGGCGGCGCAGGGGGAGGAGGGCAGCGCGGGGCTCCTGGCACAGCGGCCGCCGGGCGCCTGGTGCTGCCGAGCCGCGGACCCGCCCAGAGATATAAATAACATTATCTGAGGAGGGACATTCCTGCCGGGGGACATCGCTGCTGCCGGGACCAGATAGTCCCGCGGCGGGGGCGGGGAGGCGGGGCCGCAGCCTCCTGCAGCGCCAGGCCCTGCCCCCGCCTTCCCCACCCACTCCCGCACCTGCCAATCAGCCCCGGCGCCCGGGGCACCTGCCCGGCCTCCTCCGCCGGGCTCCCCGGAGCGGTCTCTGCCTTCCCGCCAGCCGGCCCCCCCATGGCCTTCACCTGGCCTAGCCCCGGGCCACCCCGAGCCCCCCGCGGCGCAAAGACCGTGGCCTCTGGGGTGACTCGGGCCTAATTCGGACGCCTGGAGCGGCGAAGAAATGAGCCCCTCCATCCTTTCCCGCCCTGCACACACTCGGGCTTTTAAAAAAAAATAATAATAACACGAAAAGCTGTGCTAGGGCGGTAGGATGGGCGAGGCGGGTCCCGGGGAGCTTGTGCGCCCCCCGCTGCTGCGGCGTTTTGGGGAGGGACAGACTTCCCCCCACACCCCCGGGCTGGTGTGTGGTAAAAGCGCTTTCCTGTGCGGGATGCTCCGGGCCGGCGGTGAGAGCAGACGCTGCGAGCGCAGGGGGTGGGCACTGGGCCCGAGGCCCCCCGCCTCCAGCCCGAGCTGTGCGTCGCTGTTGGAGCCTGCGAAGCCAGTGCGGTCGGGGCGAGCTGGGCCAGGATGCCGCGCTGCCCTGCAGTCCCACGGTGCTCGCAAATCGCGGGGAGCGGTGATCAACAGGCGCCGGGGACCCCACCAGTCCTCCCTGGCCGGCACCCACTGGCCGGCCCGTCTCTGCCGCCTGGCGGTCAGCCGAGGTGGGGTAGGACGAGGTGCAATACGCCAGAGAAGCTAAAACTCGTAGAGAGAGAGGGAGAGGCTGGCGCAGGATCATCGGAGGCTCGCAAGGCAGTCCATTCGCTCGACTTTCTTAACATACAAGGTCACCGTGCAGTAAGGTTGGCTGTAAGGCCTGGAGGTCGTTCTGGCTCTCTCTGCTCCACCTGCTGTGTCTGGGACGAGTTCTCTCCAGCCGTCCACCCAGGTAATGTCAGGTGGCGTGGAGATGGCCCTGAGGCTGGCTGGCATACTTCACAAGGGAACACTCTGGCCTCCCCGAGCTTTATTAGATGTTTAGGAGTATAATTGTGCTTTGTTTTCCAGGATTCACCAGAAAAGGGGTGTTTAATTGCCAGATGTTCGAGTTTATTTTATGTAACGAGCGTACACATAGATATTTCACAGCCTACAGCAGTGTCGCTTCTAAAGTGTGGGCACTTAAAGACATGGGGCAAAGTCTACAGGTATTAAAAAGCCACGGAAATCTTCACCCCACTTCCCTCTTGCCTGAGCCTGTATCTCAGTTCCATGAGGCACCAGCAAGCTAGAAAAGATGATACAAGAATATTCATGGGCCTCTGTGAGATGGGCAGGGATTCCTCCAGCTCTTTGCTGATAACATTCACAAGTCCATTTGCTTATTACTGAATTACGAATAAAATGCTTTTTTATGCGAGGGGATAGGTATTTAAGAACCAAATTCCAGTAAGGAAAACTTGAGAAAAACAAACCAACTTCCAAAACTGATGTAGTTATGTATCCCTAGTAGAAATCTGTTTTTAGAAAAAAAAATGAAAGGAAACTATGTATTTATCTTTTTTTAAAAAAAAACTTACATGAATAAACTGATTAAATAAATTTATGATTCCCTGGAACAATAGCTATATCATTACATGCTACGCAAAACAAAAAATTCCTCCACTATAGGTGTGCAGTTCTGAATTGGGCAGTTATGCACATATTTTTCTTTGATATTTTTCAACCATGAGAAGAACAAATTAATATGATGAAAGCTTCAAATCAACGGACAGATTACCCCCAAGATTTTACAAGCCAGCTCAGCTGCTCTGGCTATTTCCACTTGAGCTGAAAGCTAAATAATTCAATAAACCTCATTTGCTACAGCTTCTATTATCCTGACAGTAACACCCCCCCCCCATGCTTTGCGGCTAATACAGTTACAGTGAAATGATAAATCGTAGCTGAGGGAGAGAGGAAGTCTCTGGGTGCAGAGGAAGTGGACAATATCAAATGAGGGGTGGTGGCAGTGGTGGAGCAGAGCAGATCTCGGGGAGCAGGGATGGGAAGGATGAAAGCAAAAGCTGATCTCAGGATGCAGCATGGAGGTCATGGGGTGTGGGGGGGACCGAGTCTGCAGGGGTCTCCCCCGAAGTCTACAAGCCACATCTCAGACTTCTCAGCTTCCGCAGTGGCAGACACCCTGCCCCTGGCTGGACAAGGGGCTGTGTGTGCTCCCCCCAACACACACACACACACACACACACACACACACACACACACACACACACACACACCATGCAGATCTCCTCCACTTCCATGCCAGCTCAGAGGATGTGGATCTGAGCCAATAGGAGAGGCTGTGGGCAGACCTTCCAGAACCGTCTGCCCAGCTCTACTTTAAACCAATAGGTGGGACCAGCAGGATGCAAGCCAGGACCCTCGAGGGATGCAAGTAGGAGGGGAGTATAATTTTTTTTTTCTAACCTTTCTGAATGGTTCCAAATAAGCTTGCAGTGTTTAGTAAGTAGAAACAATAAGGAAAACAGTGGGTCGAGGGTGGATGGATTACCTTCCTTTAGCCATTCTTCTACTCCAAATTTTATTAAGAACGTGTCCTGATGAGAATAGAGATCTGGACGCACAAGAAAATGAGAATAACGGGTGGTCAATGTCCCAAGGACATTTATGAAATCCTGAGATACAGAAAAGAAGCAAGGACCGATTCACAGGGAAACGGAATCGGACAAAAACCAACACGTTCAGGAGAAAGAATACTTTCAGAAAGTTTTAAGAAACAGTCCAAGAATACAAAAGGAGAAGGGGATACTGGGTAGAACAGAGGAGTCCCTTCTACCTGAATGGCTTGTAGTTCCATTTGACCCTGAGCTTGCCAAGGTGCCCCACACCATCTGGGGGCCACCATCCTGTGCCAACTTAGCTGATCTCTAGTTCCCAGTCTCCTCCCCTGCACTCGCGCACTTGAACACCTGCCTTAACTTCAGCGCAAACTTCCAATGGTTCAGACTGCTTCACAAACTGATCCAAAAGCATCTTCGTCTCTGGCCGCACCCTAGCCACATGCAGCTTTCCTTCACTCTCTAACCTTCTCTCCTCTGCCCTCCTGACTTTAGCATCAGGAAGTTGGTGGGAATCCTAAGACAAACGGACTGAGCCCAAATAGCTAAGGATCCCTGGAAATGACAAGGAGCCTTCATTTTGTTGGCCTACATGCCCCCACGTTCCCCCGCACAGCCCTTGAAGACAAGCAAACCCATGCTCACCACAGCGACAATCTGAGCTACCAAACAAGCTACCTGAGGTTTCACTCGGTTCCAGTTCTTGTTGACAATGGAGGAATCCAGAACTGCTAATAATACACAGAAAATGTCAGAATACTACCTAGAATTCAATAAAAATCCATTCCCCCTTCTTATCCTTTTGTGAAATTGTGCATTCCATGAAACTTCACTGAAATTTCCCGTTCATTTCTGGAAGCATCTAAAGACGTCAAATCTTCCACACTTTTCAAAGATAAATGGAAGGACCAGTTCCCCAAACTCACCATTTGCAGCCACAGGGGATATGAGAATGAGAGGCCACTGCAAGACTGCAAATATCAAACTGATCCCGTTCTGAAGGGGTAGCTGACACCGATCTCAAACTTCCCCCCACCAATCACAACTACAGAACAGCCTTGCACCCCTCCGCCTGCCCACTCGTCCGCAGACACACTATGCAGGCTCCGAATGAAACATCGGCTTTTCCTGTGCAGCTGCACCTGCCCTCTCTCTCCTCTCCTGGATTAGATTTCCTGTTGCCTTGTGTGACCTTGCACAGATGTGACGGCAGGTTGATAGTGAGTTGTGCACGTGAACCTGGGCTGCTAACACCCTACTCCCAGTGCCTCCTTCAGCGGGTTCTATTTGTCCCCAGGACTTCCACAGCCAGGTAAAACACAGCAAACCACAGCAAGTCTGCTGGTTGTGGTGGAGACTCCAGGTATGGACAGCAGTGCTTCCCCTGAGGGGTCTCTCCTTGACTTACACATGGCTGCTTTCTCTTTCTGCTTTCAATGGCCTCCTCCTGTGTCTGTGTTCTAATCTCCTAATGAAGACCTGAGTTAGATTAGATTAGTGCTGGCTAACATGGCCTCGCTTACCTTAATTACCTATTTAAACCCCTACAAATACAATCACTTTCCGAGGTCCAGTGGTGGGGATTAGAATTTGAATGAATTCAGGGACACCCGAGTCAACCCGTTAGTTAAGCCTCACCTTTTCTTTTTTTAAAACTAATTTTTTTTTTTAATTGGAAAGGCAAATCTACAGAGAAGGAGAGACAAAGTGGAAAGATCTTCCATGCACTGGATAACTCCCCAAAAGGTTGCAATGGCCAGAGCTGAGCTGATCAGCAACCAGGAGCTTCTTCCAGGTTTCCCACACAGGTGCAGGGTCCCCAGGCCTTGGGCCATCCTCCACTGCTTTCCCAGGCCACAAGCAGGGAAATGAAGCAGCCAGGACACTAGAAGACCCCCATATGGGATCCCAGAACTTGCCTGGAGAGGATTAGCCAATGGAAGCATCACATCAGGCCTTCATCTTTTCTGTTTTAAAAAGATGTAGTTTATTTATTTATTTTATTGGGAAGTTAGATTTACAGAGAGAAGAAAAGCCTGGCCCTGGTCCTTGTGTCCACTTGTGAGGTGCGTGCCAGGCCCTTAACCCTGGAGCCCTTAACCTGTCCCAGTGGGGTGCAGGGTGCCTGGCCTGGGTCCTTGGGGCAGCCTGAGAGAGTTGGTCCTCCTCAGAAAAAAGACAGAGCAGTGGACGGCAGGCCCTGATGCACAAGGAGGATATGGCATC